CGTGATTTTCGTATGCTTCAACATGGCGTCCCACGTGTATCCGGGGAGAGTATAGTAATACGCGGGGTCAAGTCCGTAACTTTCGATACATTTATCTCGAAAGTTTTCGAAAATATCGGCTAATAACAAGACGTCGATTTTCAGATACAAATCGTTATATTCGCCCAGCGTCTGAATGGAGAACCGCGTCCAGACGTTCTCGGCGTGCGCGTAATCGCTCTCGGATACAGTTTCGCCGGTCAAAGAACTGTAAAACGATTCGCGCGGTGGTAAACACGTATCGTGCAACTTGTCAATGGAATCGATGTATTCGTATGGAAATACACCTTTTCGCGTTAACAAATTGAAATTTTCGGCAGATAAATTTTGAAATTTTTCCGATTTTAAAATTTTAAGTTTATCTTTGTCCAAAAATGATGCCAATTTATCGAGACTCGATGCGAGAAATTTGTATGAATCGATGAAACGTAATTTTATTTGATTTTTTGATTCTTCTTTAAAATCAACACTTTTAGTAAATGAAATATATTTTTCCTTGGTTATCGGCAATAACTCGATTTTCCCTTCGAACGCTGTGGCTATTTCCTCGATGATAAAATGAGAATCCTAACCGGATAAATTGTGAAAAACTATCGCAATGCAAAAAGAATCTTTATAATTTAGATTACAATTTGAATGTGCAGGACCTCTGTACCGCCCGGTCAGATGGCAATGATCGCGAACGCGTGTATCGTCTTGCGCGAACGGTTTTTCGCATATGTGACATTGAGTAACGTGATAAAATTTTTTCCGTTCTTCGAACGTTAAATCTACCATGGGGACATTTGTTTTTAAAATATTTTTTACGCGTAATGTCAAATTTTTAAGATCTTTAACGAACCATGCTATACAATCGGCGCTACGATGCGAATGATACACCGATAAAGATTTGTCGAACAAGCAATGTACATAGTAAGCTATGCTAAATACTTGATGATGATGTTGATATAATTTCTCTTCTTCCTTCTTGGCCAGGACGCATTCCAAGTCGGCGTACACAATGAATGGAAGCCGCTCCTTCCGATTAGGGTTGCTGAACTCGAGCCATTTGTCCTTGTCGCTCGACAATCGGACAGCGCAGTCGTTTAGCTTTCCGCAGTCGACCGTATGCAACTGCAACTTGTCGTCCGAACCAAAATAATGTAGACATCTGTAAAGGAAAAAAATTTTAATTAAGATTTTAACAATCCATATAATAATTATACAAATTATAATTATTCAAATAATATAAAATAAACTTACCGATCGCAGATATATTTCTTGTGATCTTCTTTGCTGAGTTGCGAGCTCACTAGTCGGGATAGATTCTTGATCCACGCGAAATGTCCCACGCTGTTGTTACCATCTTCCACGTATAGCAGATTCACATGCTTGTCCCGTTTCTGCTGTGAAAGATGTATCGGGGCAATGTTGTTCTCTTTCTCGATGCTGTACACGTTGATCGAGATACTGTTTGCAAGTTCAAACTTTTTAATTTGATTTACAGTCACTGGAAATTCAATTTCCTGGAGATTCAACACTGTCGCGTAATGCGGGTACGATGATTCCCGTTCCGCATGACTTTCGGCGGGATACAGAGCGGCGACCACTGCCCACGCGAAACATGCATTGTCCTTTGATTGCACGTTAATCACCGCTCTCTTCATCATAATATCCCGCGGTAACTTGATGTGACATCCCGCGTGCATGGGATTGTACTTGTTAATATTTACAGTCAAGTTCAGTATTCGCGACAAAGCCCACCCGCTATCGCGTTCCTGAAATTCTTCCAGAGACGCTAGGGTGGACTCGATAACGCGCTGTTCGTACCACTCGCGTAAATTGGACGTGCGAAAGAGTTCATGGTTTCTTGTATTCACACTTTTATTCGCATGTTTATCTCCGGCCACAAATTCACCATTGAATATTGTGTTCACTTTTACACTGCTGTGTTTTTCTAGAGCGTCCTGCACATGTTCCAACACAATGTCTTTGGCATCTTCGAGAAATTGGCGCGGTTCGATGTGATTATAATTTATCACCGCACCAGTCGATACGCGACTCTCGAACGCGGTATCGATCTCTCGCCAAACGAGTCTTTCCGCGTTATTGTCATCGCTGTAATCACCACCACTGGGAACAAATCTTCTCTGCAATCGAGTTTTTGCACCTTCGAGCTGCGCGATTTTAGCTGCCAGAGATTGTCTCTTTCCGATCGAGAGTCGCGGACGCTTAACACGACTGCGTTCTTCGAGCTCTTTGATCAATTCCTCGCAACGCTGCAGCCATGCAAAATACTCGCCCAAGGTGGCAATTTGGCGAGATCGCTCTATCAGATCGCCTTCAGTCTGCTCAATGTTTTCCATTTTATGTATTATCACACAATATATATATATATATATATATATATATATATATATATCACACTTTCTAACAGAACACTATCTTTTTTCTGACAAAACACTTTCCGAGAGAACATTACTTTTTACTAACGACGTGTCGATGCGTTTTCAATTGACGTACTATGATCTGCTGCGCTTCGATCCCTCTTATATTCGACCAACAAGCTTTCAGAGACTGTTGGGGACACGAAAGAAAATTTTCTTGCAAATGTACCTAGGATCATAGAAAAAATGCGCTATTATATTACACAGATTGCTTGAAAAGGTTGGACTGAAATATCTCAAAAATGTAAGTTTATGAAATAAAATCATAAAATATGTATAAGGGTATAAAAGGTTTTAGAATATACCATTTGTATAAAAGAATTATACAAGGTTTTCTATAGTATCCCATTTGCAAAAGAAAATTTCTTTGTGTCCCCGATAATCTCTGAAAGCTTGTCCGCTTAATCTCTATTGTTTATACGTCGAACGGGAAAAAAAACCTGGAATTATCTATAACGGGTTTACCTCGAGAGTACAAAGCAGCCGAACATCGGCGCTGATATGTAAATGAGGGAGACACCTCCGATTAGTCAATCAAAGCCAATTGTGTCCAATTGTATTGTGTCTAATCGAGTAATCCCCAGACAAAGCAGCCGATCATTAGCGCTATTAAAATTTTTCCTTAAAAAATAAAATTTTTCCTTAAAAATAAAATAAAATAAAAGAACAAAAAAAAAAGGATTAGCCCCAAAATCCTTTTCAAAATACAATAAAATACAATAAAATAAAATAAAAGAACAAAAAAAAGGATTAGCCCCAAAATCTTTTTTCAAAATACAATAAAATAAAATAAAAGAACAAAAAAAAAGGATTAGCCCCAAAATCTTTTTCAAAATACAATAAAATAAAATAAAAGAACAAAAAAAAGAATTAGCCCCAAAATCTTTTTCAAAATACAATAAAATAAAATAAAAGAACAAAAAAAAAGGACTAGACCCAAAATCCTTTTCAAAATACAATAAAATAAAATAAAAGAACAAAAAAAAGAATTAGCCCCAAAATCTTTTTCAAAATACAATAAAATAAAATAAAAGAACAAAAAAAAAGGACTAGACCCAAAATCCTTTTCAAAAGAATACCGCTCTTTTGTTTATGCTTGTCATTCAACGTGAGCCCCCCCCAACCCCCGCGTGACGTCATACCCCCGCTCCGCTGAGATCCCCTCGCACCTCACCTCCCTGAGAGGACCTGGGTTAGAACCGGCCTACTACCACAGTATATACAGTAGCGCAACTCTCCCGATTTTGTGTAGCATAAAATGAAATGCGCATGCGTAAAGTCAGCGAGTATACCAGTACTGCCATCTGCACTTCCCTCTCACTCTCTCCTTTGGTTTTCGTTCTCTTTCTAACACATTATAATATGTAATATAAATTAAATTCAATAAAACTTGAATATATGTACATAAAGAAATCGTGAAAAATATAATATAAAATATATAATGCAAACATATATAAAAAATAATATATATGACATGATGTGAATATTAATTAACCATTTTATATGTCACATATAACTGATAGCAGAAAAGAATGAAAAGATATATACTCATAATACTCATTATATAATTCATAATATATTTACATATTAATACTTATATATATAATTTTTAATATATTTATATATTAATTGTACATACATATATTCTATATATATATATATTTTTTTTTTCAAAAACTTAAAATTAAAAAAAAAATATTTAGATTAAAACTACAATCACTTAAAGTTTATTATATAAAATATATATATTTATGATCAAAATGAAGAAAGAAACAAGAAATATATATTTGTTAATAATATATATTATTAACAAATATACACATATATTTCTAAATGTTTTTTTTCATTTTAAGTTTTTGAATATATATATAGAATATATGTATGTACAATTAATATTATAAATATATTAAAAATTATATATGTAAGTATTAATATGTAAATATATTATAAATTATATGAGTATTATGAGTATATATCTTTTCATTCTTTTCTATCAGTTATATATGATATATAAAATGGTTAATTAATATTCACATCATGTCATATATACTATTTTTTATATATATTTGCATTATATATTTTGTATTATATTTTTCACAATTTTTTTATATATATATGTTCAAGTTTTATTGAATTTAATTTATATTATATATTATAATGTGTTAGAAAGAGAACGAAAATCAAAAGAGAGAGTGAGAGGAAAGTACAAATGGCAGTACTGGTATACTCGCTGACTTCACGCATGCGCATTTCATTTTATGCTACACAAACTTCAAAGGTGCCGACAGGGAGTTGCGCTACTGTATATACTGTGCTACTACATCTACTCGCGTCTGAGGAAAGACGCGAACGAACTCGCGAAGAGAACGGCCGCGACGACGACGACGGCGACGAGGGCGGCGGCGAAGGCGGCGGCGGCGGCGGCAGCGATTCCTAAGACGATCGATCCGAATAAGGTAATCATACAACTGGGCGCTAAAACTCCTGATAAGCAACAGTCGAAGAGAGGGTAGAAAAAAAAATAGAGACGGCGAGATGAGCGCCGCGAAACGGAGACTCGTGAAGCTGCACGCGCCAGCGAGAAAGAACTTCCCCCGCCGCCGCGTCGCGGTGCGCGGATACGACGATCTGTGGCAAGCGGACATCGTCGAAATGCGTCCTTACGCCGGACGGAACAGAGGCCACAATTACATACTCACCGTCATCGACGCTCTGAGCAAGTACGCGTGGGCGGTACCGCTCAAGAGAAAGAGCGGCGACGAGATCGCTCGAGCCCTGTCGAGCGTGACGCGCGCCTCCGGACGTCTCCCGAGGAATCTGCAGACCGACAAAGGAAAGGAGTTCTACAACGCCGAGGTGCGAAGATTCATAGACAGACACGGAATCAATCATTACTCGACGTATTCTGTGCTGAAAGCGTCCATCGTCGAGCGTTTCAATCGCACGCTCAAGAACGATGTGGAAGTACTTCACGCTGAACGGAACGTACAAGTGGCTCGATGCGCTGCCGCGTCTAATATCCGAGTACAACGCTCGCAAACATCGAACCATCGGGATGCGTCCGATCGACGTGACGCCCGCTCGAGCGTCGAGACTCCTGTCGACAGTGTACAGCCACCCGAAGATCGCCGCTCCGGGAAAATTTCGACCGAACGATCCCGTGCGCGTGAGCAAGTACAAAACGCTGTTCGAGAAGGGATACACGTCGAATTGAACCGCGGAGATCTTCCGCGTAGCCGAGGTGCGAAGGACGAATCCCGCGACGTATCTGCTGAAGAATTCGCGCGGCGAGCCGATAGCCGGCGGATTCTACGAGCACGAGTTGCAGCGAGTCTCCGATCCCGACGTGTATCTCGTGGAGAGAGTGCTGCGCCGAAAGGGCGACGCGGTTCTCGTGAAGTGGCTGGGAATGGACAGGTCGCATGACTCGTGGATCGACAAAGCCGACATATTGTGACGAACATACGTATATTTTCGCGCGATATTACAGAAAAGATACATCGCGCGTATTGTCCCAACGAACATATATATATATATATATATATATATATATATATATATATATAGTATAACATTAAAGATAATAAAATACATTACGCATATTTATAAAATACATCACGCATATCTATAAAAATACGTCGCATAGCGCTTAAGATCTATCCGCGCCTCTCCTCACAGAGGTGTCCTGTAGTGCTCCCACGGCAGAGTGTCGGGCGAATCTGGCACGACGTAGCGCTTATCGTCGTACGGACTGAGCGCGACCTTCGACTCGCGCACGGTGTACACCTCGTGTAACTTGGATCTCAGGCACGATTGCTCGCGAGTCATCTCGACCTCGCGTCTCACACAGCGCTCGTAATCGTCGAACGTCAGCGTTCTCGCGACGCTGCTCCTCACGCCCTTGCTCTTCTTAGTGTCGCACCTACCCTCGACTCGCAACGTGTACATCTTCGCTCTGAGTCCGACGAACTCGATCATGAGAGCGCTGTTGTTCTCGTCCTTCATCAGACCGAGAACCTTCTTATTCGCGCGCGGCATGCCGTAGGGATTGTCGCGCTTCATTCGCTCGTACGCGTCCTCGAACTCTATGCTATAAATGAGTCTGTCCGTGTCGGTGTACAATATTTTACACTTATCGCCGTAGAGCGGCGACATGTATTCGTAGTGAAACGCGTACAGACGAATCTTGGATATATCGAGAATGGACATGCCTACGTAGATCGGTTTGTCGATCTTCGCCTCCAATTTGCGCAATTCCACGGCCATGAGATTCTCCGAGAATACGCTTCTACTGTGAAAATTCGGCTTGGAGATGAGCGCCTCGGCTCCGAATCGACCGTCCCATCGAGTCGCGAGTCGAACGTCCACGCGATTGCGCACGTTCTCCATGGTCTTGCCGAAGACGGCGTTGTTTATCAACTTGTACAAATTCTTCTCGAAATCGTTACTCACGTTAGTGCGTAAGCGCGTGTTAAGTTCCACGTATCCGCGTAACCACGGCGACTGCGAGAAGCGCAGCGCGCGATGAATCTTCGTCAGACGCAGACCGTGACGAACGCACTGCTGCAGATTGCGATAGTGCGTGACGTATCGGCGCTTATCGTACAGCGTAGCTAATAGTTTGCTCTGCCGCTTTCCCGGCGGCTTATCGCGCGTGGGACAAAACGGTAAATCGGCGTGGGCGTCGTGCGCGTCGGCCGGATAGTCGAGATCGACCTCGAGAATGTAGCCGATGGTCGAGTCCTCCGTCACGGACATCACGTCGAGACTCTTGAGGTCGTCGACCCACTCGAATCGCTCGTACGGTAACGGCTGACACATCGCCCAACCGTACAGATTGTTGATATCGAGATACATCAGATAGATCGACGGTCGCGACGGATCGTACGCGCTCATGTACTTGTTGTTAGCGCGAGCATATCTGTTGGAGCACTGACTCAGACCTCCGCGTATTCCGCGTTCCACGAACATCATCATATCGATATCGGTGAGCAGCTCGAAGCGAACTCCCGTGTACTTAAGCATCGCGTCCCACGTGTATCCCGGCAGCGTGAAGTAGTACGCGGGATCTAAACCGTAACTCTCCAAACAAGCGGTGCGAAAATTTTCGAACACGTCCGCGAGCAGAAGAACATCGGTCTTCAGATAGAGATCGCTGTACTCGCCTAGATTTTCGACGTTAAATCGCTTCCAAACGCGCGTGCTCGTAATCGCTCTCCGATACGGTATCACCGGTCAGAGAACTGTAGAAGGACTCGCGCGGCGGGAGACGCGTCTCCCGCAATCTCTCGACGCTGTCGACGTACTCGTACGGAAACACGCCCTTGCGCGTGAGAAGCCGGAAGTCGTCGTCGGAGAGATCGCGAAACTCGCCTCGCGCGATCATCAGTTTGCTCTCGTCGAGATACGACGCCAGCTTATCGAGACCGGCGCCTAAAAACTTGAACGAGTCCACGAATCGTAATTTGACGTATCTGGAACGCGCGGCGTTTCCCCAGTCTCCCTCCGCCGCCGCGGTATCTCGAACGGTCTTCGAGAAAGCTATGTACGATTTCTTCGTCACCGGCAATAACTCGACGCTGCCGAGATACGCGTTAGCCACATTCTTGATAATGAAGTGCGCGTCGTAACCCGATAGATTGTGAAAGAATACGGGTATGACGTAGGGGTCCTTGTAATTCAAATTACACGCGGAATGCGCCGGATCTCTGAAGCGGCCGATCAAGTGACAATGATCGCGTACGCGAGCGTCATCGATCTCGAACGATCTCTCGCACGCGTAACAGCGCGACGCGCTCGCGAATATCTCCCGCTCGTCCGGCGTCAGATCCGCCATCGGTACCACGGCGTCGAGGGCGACCTTCGCGCGAAGCGCCAGATCGCGCAACTCGCGCACGAACCACGCGACGCAATCCTCGCCGCGATAAGATCCGTACGCCGACGCGGCGTCGTCGAAGGAGCAACGCGTATAATAGGCCACGCTGTGAACTCTGTGATGCTGAACGATCCTCGTATTCTTGGTTCTCCCGCCCTCGTCCCCCTCCTTCCTCTCCAACGCGCACTCCAGATCGGCGTACACCGCGAACGGAATTCGCTCCTTTCTCGAATGATGATCGAACTCCAGCTACCTGTCGTCCTCGCCGGGAAGAACGATCGCGCAATCGTTTAGCTTGCCGCAATCCTCGCTGTGCTCCGACAGCTTCTCGCTCGTGCGAAAGTAATGCATGCATCTGAAAGAAAATACGAAATAAACGCTAGCTCGATATTTCGCTCTCGCTCGCCGAGTCGAACGCTCACCGATCGCACACGTGCGTCCTGTGCTGTCGCTTGCTCAACTGCGAGCTGATCAGACGAGACAGATTTCGGATACAGGCGAAATGTCCGACCGCGTTACCCTCGCGCGTCGCATCGCTCAGATACAGCAGATTGACGTGTCTCTCCCTCTTTCGATCCGTCAGACGAAGAGGGACGATGCGAATTCCACCGCCACCATCCTTCCCGCGTCGTCTCTCTCCGACGGTGTACACGTTCACCAATATATCGTTCAGACGCTCGAACCGTCCGATTCCGTTCAGAGTCATAGGTAACTTCGAGCCCTCCAGATTCAACACCTCGGAGTAATGCGGATATCGCGAGCTTCTCTCGCAGTGCTTATCTACGGGATACAGAGCGGCGACCACCGACCACGCGAAACACGCCTCGTCGTCGGATCGCACGTTGACCACCGCTTTCTTCATCTGAATCTCTCGCGGTACTCACACGCGGCACCCCGCCCGCATGGGATTGTACACGTTCACGTTCACCGTTAGATCGAGTATGCGCGACAGGGCCCATCCGCTGTCGCGCTCTTGAAACTCCTCCAAAGACGCGACGGTATCGCCGACGACGCGAGTATCGTACCACTCGCGCAGATCCGTCGTGGTAGAAGGGGATGATTTCTCGTGGCGATCGTCTTAACGGCGGTTTTATCGCCCGACACGAATTCTCCGTTGAACGTCGTGTTCACCTTAACGCTGCGATATCGGCCCATGACGTCGCGCACGCGGCGGAGCACTGTGTCCCTCGCGTCCTCGAGAAATCTCAGAGGTTCGATGTAATCGAGATTTATCACCGCGCCGGTCAACACGCGTCTCTTGAAAGCCGTCTCGACCTCGGACCATGAAAATCCCTCGCGTGACTCGATCCCGTTACCACCGCCGTCCTCGCGTCTCGCGACACCCGCGCCCTCCCGCTCGAAGCGTCGTCGTAGATCGTTCCTCGCGCCGATCACTCGCAGGATTCGGGCGACCAGAGAGGTCCTCGCCCCTGTGGAGATTCGGCGACTCGCGTCTAGGCACCTCTCGCGCAGAGTCGCGAGACACTCCTCGCACCGTCGCGTCCACGCGCGATAGTCGTCCGTCGTGGCGACGCCGCCCGCTCTCGAGCACTCGGCGCTCTTCCTCCCGCATGGTCGCGTCTTCTTCTCTCCCTACGACGATTCGTCGTCCTCTCTCTCTCCTCTCTGCGGGGCCTTATCCACAGCGTCTCGCCTCGCGAATCCATCGGCAGCGAAAACCCGCGACGCGTTCCAGTCATCCGCGTATCTCCGGCGTCGAATCTCGCCGCTCTTCCGCTACACACCAGGACCGTCTCGATCCACAGCTCCTCGCGCGCGTCTCGAAGACCAATTGCCCGCCTCGTCGAATAGGTCGCGACGCTCCACGCGATCCTCTCCTTCAACACTCGACCGTAGCGATTGATCGGCGGATCGACGCGCTCCTCGCTCATGACAACTCGCGCCTCAAGCGTATCAAATCGACGCCGCAAAATATATTTCGGCGGAATGGGTACTCGCGACCGCTGTCCTCGCGATCATAGGTGTATCGCAGAGTTCTATCCGCGTTATCCTCGGGCGGGAGAATCCTGCAGCGCGCGACTGGCCATAAGTATTGTTCTTCCAGTTGGGGATAATCGAACGAGTGGTATTTCCACTCGCCGTCACACATATAACCCTTCGGATCCTGATGATCCTTCGGATACTTCGCTCTAAACCACCTGTTTAGATCATAGTTGTAAGAATAGGCTCTGCGACTGTGGGCCAGAGCCGTCTCGACCCACAACTCCTCGCGCCGACTGTGCGTTTGAACGGCTCTTCTCAGATGATACGTCGCGACGCTCCATCGCGCGCTCTCCTTCAACTCGACATCGTCGTCGCCTATCGGGCGCGTCAACTCCTCTTCCTCATCCGCCGCCCTACCGTCGACAGTAGAGACGACTCTGGCGGAACTCGCGCCGCTCATACGCGCGCCTCGTCGTTCGCGAACCTATCTTCCCGAGAAACGATCGGATAGACCGATCGCGACCATCCGCGAGGCGTGTGCGCGCCTCGAAACGACCGTCGGCGTCTTTATACTCGCTCGTTCGAGCGACGACGACGTCGCGCGAGCGGAAAAAAATTTCTCCGCGGTCGCGCGGTTTTCGCCTTCGGAAACGACGAATCCGTCGAAATACCGCATTCGACCGGATTCGGCGCGTGTTATCGCGCGCGTCTCTCGCCGCTGCGCGTTCGAGAGAATGAAACGACGACGGAAGCGTCGCCGCGAATATCCCTCTCGTCTTAGCGCGACGCGCTCGAGAGGAAGGAATGGCGACGGAAGCGTCGTCGCGAATATCCCTCGCGCGCGCGAGTAAATCCTAACGGAATCCCGCTCCTCTCTCATTATCGCGCTTAAAAAGAGAGATAAGCGAGTCCGAGAACGCGCGACGACCGCGATATCGCGCGAAGACGCGATATCGCGCACGCGCGACGAGGCTCTAGTCCGATCGACGCGCTCTCCATCGATCCTCGAGAACGAAGGATCGACGACCTCCGTCGACGACCTCCGTCGACGAGAGAGAAACGCCTCTAGCCGCGACGTGTTCTCTCGATACATCGTACGCTCGTTTACGAAACGCGCGCACATTTAGGTTAAAATTCGAGCGGCGCGCTCGCGCGCGCGGCGAACTCGCTTCCGACGTCTACGACGAGACGAGTCGAGACGAGAAACACCGACGCGCTCCGCGTGCTCTCCCGATACATCGCGCGCCTTTTTACAAACGGAAAGAAAAAAATATTCGAATTTACATTCGAGTGACGCGTAAGACGCGATGAAAACGCCCGAGGCCGCTTGTCACTCCCTCCTCGGCGCGTCGAAACGACGCGAGCCTGCGGAGGCGCGTATATGTTATATAAATATTACATTAACATTATTTAAACATTATTTAAATATTATATAAATATTATATAAATATTACATAAATATTACATAAATCGCGCGAATCGCATATTTTTATATTACGTCTCTTCCAGGCCTACGTCGAATACGTCTGCTCTACCGTTAACGTCGACCTTATCTCTATCTCGCGCCCGACGGGCGATTGCCGCTTATCGCGCGCGCCTAGCGCGCCGCGTCCAGAGACGCTCCGACGCGCCGTATCCAGGGACGCGCGCGCGCCGTAACCAGGGACGCGCGCGCTCTCTCTCCCTCTCCCTCGCTCTCGCGCCGAACCCCTCTACCGCCCGCTCGCCCCCTCGCCTCGCCGCCCCCTCGCTCTCCCCCTCCGCGTGACGTCACGACCCTCCGTTTACCTACCCGACGGCGAGCGGCTCCCCTCGCCCTACCTACTCCCCCTGCTCACCCGCGCCGCCGTCACCCTCCCCCGCGCCCTGCCCCTCGGATATCATTCTATCTCTCTCGCTCTACGAGACCTCTCTCTCGCACCCGTGCGGGTTAGAAACGGTATATTCTCCCTACTGTCGACAATTTTTCTCAACACGCTCCGCCAAAGATGTAGAGAAATGCTGAGGTAGACGTGATGCTCTAGTTGGAATGAGACACAAGATATTAAAAGATATTTAATGAAGAGGAGTCTGCGGAATATTATTTCGTTGTTCTTTGCGTTTCGTTAGTCTTGTGTGTGTGTTCCGTTGATCTCTTACTATGGCTGAAGAAAACGTAATCATCGGCAATGAAGACGAAGATGTTATTATCGTCGATGAGGACATTGAAGAGGTTGTTATAGTCGAAGATGGAAATCAAATGGATGTCGATAATCTAGATCAATCAGACGAGGATGGCTCTGAGGAAGAATCCGAGGAGGAGGAGGAAATATCACCCTTAGTGGATTATGTTAGTGATAATGATGAAGAATTAAGACTGAAAAAATATAAATATTTAAACGCGATGGAAATACAGTCTATAAAGTAAGAGTGTGTACAGGTTAATGTGTAGAAAAATTTATTTTTAATGATTTATAAGTACATGGATTTGTTGTACTACATGAGAAGAAAAATGCTATACCATTAATAATGAGTCCAGTCACCACCGACATTGATAATTGCCTGATATCTCCGAGGCATACTTTCCACTAAGTTGACTGCGTATTCGTTCAGTAAAGACCTCCAAATGAGACGAATTTGTCGTGTCAGCTGCTTCAAAGTGCATACTCTTTTTCCTCGAAGCTTGTGCTTGAGATATGCCCACACATTTTCAATTTGCATCTGGCGATTGCGATGGCCAATCAAGTGTGACGATGCCAGACTGCTCTTTCCACTCGGTGCAAAGCTTGCTCTGGTGTTTTGGGTCGTTGTCTTCCTGTAAGATCCAGTCCTCGTTTTTTTTTATGAAACATCGTTCAGCAGTCGGCAACAAACACTTTTCATAAATTTTAATTTTCGGAGCATTTAAATTGTATGTAAACAGCATTTTCGGAGCATTTAAATCGTATGTAAACAGATGTAATGCTCCAAAACCCTGTTTTGAAAAGCAGCCCCAAAGATGAACTTTTACAGGGTGTTTAACGGTCTGTTGTAGTAATCTATTGGTCAAGGTTGACCAGGAACGTCGGATGGTAATATATCCCCAAACAGAAGCTTCGTCCGTAAAGATCACATTGCTCCAATCTCGGTCCAAATTCTCCTTTGCCCAAGCGAGTCTTTTCATCACATGTTTTTCGCTTAACAGTGGTTTCTTCATGTGCTTCGATATTTGATGTTATGTGCAAGGAGATGGGTTCGAATAGTTGTATGTGATATTTCACCCTTCTGTTTTAATTTTGCTGCTCCTTGTCGCAATGTTAAGATCGGGTTCCGCTTAAACAAATTCGCAATTTCATTTTCCATGTTTGGCGTCACTTTGCCTATCGAGCCACGTTCTGACAAGTCATCGACATTTTTGGTCTTCTTATATTACTGAACCCACTTAGCGACGAACGATTTTGACTTTCCCATGTATTTAGCAGCCGCTACATATGACATTTTTAGTCCTTTCGGGTGGGAACAAAGGAACACAGCCTCGTAGCGCGATGCGTATGCGGCACTCATGGCGGTTAACGTGTTTCTCAGATAAGAATTCGACACCAACTGAATCTTTTGTGACAAAGCATTCACGACAAAGATTCCATCTATCGACTCACAAAAAAACTAGAACGATATTTGAAGTCAACTGCCATTTATGCCATACACGCTCTTACTTTACAGACTGTAAATAATCTGGATGTTATTATAAAAATGTGTCGCATCAAATATTATTATTACGATGTGGAAGAAGGAACTAGTATTGCTTTGATTGTTTTTTAAGATTGGCATCATCGTTTCACAACGTATACTCCGTCGAAAACATAAAACGGATTATTGTGCCTTATTAATAGGCACTTATTGCAAAGAATGCAAGAAAAATTTACATCAAATATTACCATACAATATGTGCCCCATTTGTAC